CAGAACACCGAGCTCTGGTTGGAATGCTTAGTGGGTAGCTGCAAAGCTGGCTATCTTTGCCTCTTCTTTCTCCACAAACGCCTTAGAAGGCGAAGGCCGAACGTCAGACGCCGGCGTTCGGCGTTCGAACGTGTTCGAGCAATGAGTAAAGACAACGGCAGCTAGCTTTGCATCTACCCCCTAATTATTCCAACCACGCGAGCTCTGGTCTCATCATCTCTCTCAATTTCTACCCGCATAGTCCCCGTTCAGTCCTAAGTTAGAAGCGCTTATGATTCCCACAATGCTAAAGGCTTAAAGTGGTGTCATGCTGAAACATCTGTGTGTATACCTATTGAGATGATTGCCTTATGTATCACTATACTCCTCTCTGTATATTACTGAAGCCGTCAAAACGTCCATAAAATGTTATATGTGGACAACCCAACAGCAAAAACAATGTATTGCACGAGATTGCTAAAGAGCAGAAATATAACTGAGTGCGCCTTTAATTTACGTGTACCATAAACTAAGAAGGGATGCATGCCAAACGAATACTTCTGCGTGGGTTTCAGGGTTACTTTGCAAGGAACATAGTAATTTCATTACTCTTGGAAAGTAATGCTAATGTAATGTTATTACTTCTAGTTTGTGGTAATTTGTGATTTATTTATTATATCTTTGCAGTTTTCAGGAAAGTAATTAGCAATGTAATTTAATTACATTTTGAAAGTAATTTTTCATCTCTGGTACCGGCCCCGAAAAACCAAACGTTCGCCACCGTCAAGGGGAAGTTCGCCCAGTATATCGTTCATCCTGCGAACGAAATCTTCATAAGTCAACGATTCTACCTCAGGTCTCAGCGGCCTGACGAATCTGTTGATACGTTTTTCACAATGCTGAGAACCCTAATCAAACGTTGCAACTACTGAAATAGAGGATCGTTCGGTGCGAGACAAGTTTGTCGTCGGCTTGCAGGACGAAAATTTATCAGACTAGCTGCCGTTCCACGAGGCTTACCGCTGACAAAGCACTTCTTCCAGTCCGCCAGCAAGATGCCGAAAGAGAACGCGCTTCCCGTTCTGCTGAAACCTACCGCGGCGGCCTTGAATGTCAACGGGATAGACAAGAAGAGGACTGCACCAGGCACTTCGTCGAAACGCTCACGCAATCGCCAGCAGCGCTTCGACAACGCAGTGTCCGGCAATAGTTGGCGTTTGGCGCACGACCAAAAAGACTCTCCAGCTCAGAAGGCAAGCTGTAATTTTTGCCGCAAGCAGGGCCTCTTGTGAACGTTTGCCATGCAGAGAAGCGCAAGAAGTTAGGCTCCGTTGAACTGCTGCTCTGTTCATACGTGACGGGCAAGATACGTCGAAGTGTGCCTCAATTGCCACTTGACAAGGTTCAAAGTGGACTCGGGGGCAGATGTCACCGCCGTTCAGCCATCTTTCGCGGGTATTCCACGCAAGCTCGACACAGCAGAAGGAGAGCTCACCGGCTTAGAGAACCAGCCGCTGTCGGTCCTTGGCACTTTGCAAGCTACCCGGCGTGGATGGGAAAGCCGAGTGACGCACGAGCGGGACTTCTGGGGCCGGCCCTGCTTAACGAGATACTGCCACGACCTTCTAGCGAATATTTTATTGTCTAATTGTCACCCACGTTCTGGCCACATTACAGAGACACCACTTTTTTTTTTCTTGAAAAGACACCAAAACATTATTTAAGAGGAATAAACCGAGTGTCGTTACGTCGCTATGCCCTTAAAAGCCGCGCCGCTCCGCAGAAGTGCGGCGGCAAGCTGCGTGCTCGCGAGCCCTGTTGAACCGGATTTTCCTTCTCTTTTGGCGTAATCAACTCTTGCGGGGAGGCGCTACTAAAACGCCAAGTTGAAACGCGTGGACGAAGTCAAGTGGCGGAGCTCACTTTACGACGTCACTTGACGACGTCAAGTGGCCCTCGAGCAGCTTCGCCCATGCCGGACCAATTAACGTCACGTTTGTGACGTCAGTTTGTTCAACTCCCGTGATGCGTAGCGCTCCTTAATGGCTGATCTTCGAGCGCTCGCTGGGAGCGGTCCTTTGGAAAGAAAAATATAGCCATTCGTTCAAAATACAAGCGTGCGATCGCCACTGGGAAACTGAGTTGATCAAGTTTAACTTATTTCTGAAGTGGAGACGTATGTTTTAAGCTTCGATTTAGTATCCCTCGATGTGCACGGGCGCCTATCAATTTTGTCTTCACACCTGAAAAATTTGTAGCCAAGTATTTCTCAGAAACGTTGTTTATCTACATGTGAGGGGATACACCCCTGTTTTCTCGGCTAAACTCTGATCGCTAGGGATTTGCGGCTCCAGAAAATTCAACTAGCCACGTAGCGGCAGAGGCGAGAAGCTCCAAAAAGAGGATATTTTGCCACGACCGTGCACTCTTGCTGCTTGGTTCTCGTCGGCAACATAGCTTCATTTGCTTGCTGCCTAAAATCAACTAAACAATCACTCTTAAACGATGCTGCAACGAGCTGAGGGATGGCTAAAAACGTTAAGATATTTTAATGCGGTGATCAATATCCTTCATCAGCGAGATGAAAGGCAATATATCGCAACACATGTTCCTACCCTAAACTCGTAGTTAAACTCACGCACTGTAGTAGGTTTATAAAAGTAAAGATCGCCGCAAAAAATCGCATCAGCGGTATAGAAACGCCATTAATTGCTTATGAACTGTCTGACTTTTATTCGTAAGGTCAAAGAGAATATCAGAACCTTATTCATTTAAAACATCAACAAATTCGAATCTTATTAAAAAAAATGGAAAATCTGGCTATGATGGTGTGTTCATAGGCGTGCAAGCCCATATTACCGCCTGCCAGATACTAATTTACACGAAGACCTCATTTCTGAGCATTACCAATAAATTGGTCGCATTAAATTCGTTGCGACAATCAATCAGGCAAAACACCAATATTGCACAAGCATTATTCACACTCCGTTTTCTTCAGCATTAGCTTAAATGTGCACAAACAAGTATACATACTTAAATAGTCTCCCATGTAAATTTGTCTACCCCTATGAAAATGGTTAATGCCATTTGAAAGTCATATTATTGCCAAATGGCAACAGCTGTTTACAAATAGTCAATCAGCAGGCAACAGATGTTAATCGTCATTGAGACGTCACCCTGCTGACCCGGATAGCCATTTCGCCACCGTCAACTTTTTGCCGTTCTATTGGTTATTGTCGGTGTATCATCAGTGTATCTACATGTTAACGTTAAATGGCTAAAGGAGGCAATCAAAGGACTATACATTTTATAGTCTTTTGACTGCCTCCAATAGCCAATTAGCATTAGCATGTAGATACACTGGCAATGCACCGACAATAACCAATAGAACGGCAAAAAGTTGACGGTGGCGAAATGGCTATCCGGGTCAACAAGATGACATCTGAATGACGATTAACATCTGTTGCCTGCTGATTGACTGCTCTTAAACACCTGTTGCCATTTGGCAATAATAAAAAATGGCATCAACCATTTTTATAAGGGCATAATTATCACATAGACGTCATTTGATCGAATTTCGTGACCATTTCGCCATTGTCAACCCCTCGTAAACTTTAAGCTGGCCAGCCGAAAAACTGCAATAGTTTACATGGCCTACCATTGATTCCATGCCTGATACACATAGTGCCGGCTTGCAATATGGGAAGAAAACAAAGATTGAAGGACAATTTAAAGACCCAAAATTTATTTATCACAATGTCATTAAAATGACGTGTTTTTTTTCAAGACTAAGTTAATCACCCAGATGTAAACGATGAGTGAAAAAATAACCTTTCCTTGCTTCCTGACATGTCTGTAAGGTGTCAGCTGAAAGAAGAAAAACATTATAATTAAGTGGGCATATAACCAGAAATATTCTTGCAGCACATTCAAAAATATGCACAGAAGAACCTCGCTCACATGTTTTCTCGGCTGTTATGTTCACGGAAACCGGTCCTATCGAACGTCCAAAAGTATATATGTGTTAGAATTACAGGCTTCATGAATTTCCTTCTTGGTTCTTATGTCCAAACACTGCCACTCAAGGTGGCCGGCATGATTACTAGGAACACATACCCTGTTCCTTTTGCTTTACTCCCTTTATTTTACCTCCTTGCCTCTCTGCACTGTGTTTCTTGCTTGGTCGTGTATGACAATAAGAGATTCAGGCTCTCACGACACCCCATTTTTCTTTACCACCTCCATGCCACCATGTTCAAGCAGTGCTGATTGCATCAAGCCCCACTGCTTTGATGTGGCATACAGGGTGCAGTGATTTGTTTGAGGCAGCTGTGGTTTAGCTCGATGGGCTCAGAATTTTTGCATCCTTATATTTCAATATTTTTTTAACTGCAACGATAGACAACGCATCACTGCGATGGAGCGGCTGTCGGCACAGCACATGTACACATATGTCTGCTCACACGAATCTAGTTCCTGCGTATGCAGTGCCCATAGCTGCTGTGGGCAAACACAAGCTTGTCTGTAAACAGTGTGTTACTTATAGTTCAACCACAATTTTAAGAAGTGTTGAAAAAATTGTCAACATATAAAATAAGGCAATCTTTTTTACAGCCATAAAAGCTAAGGTAAGATAAACAGAGCTTCCTGAAACACCTATAGCTATCCCAAGGGCATTATCAGTTGTTACATCTTTGCTCATGTCATGATCCTTTATTGTGACTGCATAAAGATGCAGCAGCAGGGTTCTACTGTATTTCACACAATGTTTGAATGTGCAATAGCTTTAACTTCCACAACACATCAGCCAACCACAGGTTGTCAAAATGTCAACTCCACAATAATGTAATAAGTATGAATACAATAATAATCCCTGGAAAAGGGGTACAAGGGGGAGAAAGGTCAAAGAGGAATCTCCTTTGTCCCCTTGTTCCCCATTTTATTTGATGTGATTATTATTGTCATTCTTGTCTTGAATAAAAGGGTCTACTCATGCCTCTTAAGAGAGGGAAGCAGCTTACCTGGAAGAGTATAGCGCCCCCGGGACAGAAATCGAGAGAGGCTGTCCTCGACTTGCTTCCCCACATTGCTGTACTCCGTGAAGGTGCGAGCTGAAAGAGCAAATCAGAATTGCAATTTAAAATGATAATAGCCCCTAGAAAGCTACACTCAACTATTGGTACCCTTTTCCTCATTGTCCAGTTCTGCCAAAACGGTCATTCATCCATTTGGATGGTGAAATTCGTTCATGCGCATGCAGCTTGTGGGCACTGCCATGTTGTTATTGCGTCATTACTTGAATTTAATGTAAATATTCACTTCACCTTAGACAAAGATTTATCTATTACTTTTGATAAGATCTTTGGATGCTCGGCAATTTTAACAGCAGCCTGGGGGGCGCACTCATAGATGCACCACTCTTCAATCAGTTTGGGGAGTGCGTCTTTAAACGCTCACTCTTTTTATCGTACGGGAGGAAGCACCATCTATCCCCTAACATCGGAAATAATTTTCCTTTAGAAATTAAAGCTATGATGGTAGCACAAGAAAAGTTTCGTACAAAAAAATATAGGCAAAATAGGGACAAAAAAAATTTTTTTTGGTCATGGGTCCCCAGTCACGGGGTCAAGAAATAGATTAATCTTGTGTGTTAACATTTTTTTCAAAGCAAAAACATGACAGGACTATGTTATCAAGTGTATAGCTCTTTTTACTGTGGTCATAATGAGGTGGCATAGCCTTTGTCATTTGCCCAATAATGCTCAACAAACACAAAACTAAAACAAAAATTCTCGCAGACCAAGAACCATTACTACATGCAATGCAAGTTTTGAGGGTAAACATTTTGGCAGAGGCCTGCCTGGTCGGGAGAAAGCTTAAAAACTCAAAAACATCCGTCCACACACCCACATCTGTGTTCCCTACATAAAGGGGACTAGCGAAGCGCTGTCATGTATGCTGGTAAAAGAAAGTATTCAGGTGTCCCACAAACCGGTATCAACACTTTGACGTATGATGCTGCGAATTAAAGGTCATCCCTCTAAACAAAGAGCGCAGGGCATTGTATATTCAATTCCATGCCACCTACATTGGAAAAACAAAGAACTTCCCAGAAAGAATTCAACAACACAAAAACAACTGCAAATTGGACCACGAGCGCAGCGCTGCTGCAGAGCACTGTGAGGACAATGAATATTGCATCAGCTTTGCCGACACCCTCATAAATGTTGAGACAAACTTCTGCCAGCAGCTTTTTATAGTCATGGCATATCCAAACAACACCAGGAAACATCAATAGGTCCACTGGCACATTGCCATCATGCTACGTGAACGGATTCAGCCACCTAACGAAGTGAAAAAAAAAAAGACTATCGTAGAAGAAAACAAAGCTGTTGTCCCCTATCTAGAAGCAGTCACCCCTGAAGAAAAAAACAAGCTGTTTTTGAAACGTTGGGACCTTGTTGTAGGATATGGTTGGTGATTTTTTTCAAATTCCAATGTATGAGTTTTGCATTTGTTTGAGTCATCATTCACTTTTTTACCATATTTACCCGCATAATGAACACACCTCTTTATTCTGAAATTGACATATTTCGGGGGTGCGTTCATTATGCAGGGTAAATTTCTGCATTTACACACTTCGCGAAAATGTAATTTTAGGTGGCAGTATGACACGGCAAGGTACTGTGGCATGTCTCCACTGACGGAGGCGCATCGACGGCTGGTCGTGGGCGCGCTACAATAACCGCGTTCTACAATTTGAAAACCTTTTTTTAGGGTGCTTTCGGTGTGCCTTCTGTCAAAGGAAAAGCGCCCTCCTAGTGAAGAGTAAAAAAATCTTGCATGTAAGAAATTTAGGTGTCCAATAAAAGCATATGACCAAATAAGATCATATAAAAACTTTATAAAAACGTATAAGAACAATATAGGAAATATATAAGATTATATAAGAAGTTTTAAGAAACTGAAAAGAAGTTTCTTATAACTTCAAATATAATTTTATATTGTTCTTATATGTTTTTATAAGGTTCTTGTATTTTCTTTATGATCTTATTGGATCATACGCGTTTGTTGGACATAAAATTTTTTTATACATTTAAGATTTTTTTACTAGGGAAGCTCACTCAGCATGGGGAGTGACGCGACCGTCCTTAGGCCTAACCACTTTCACGATTTCACTGTCCGAAAGCACACCACAGATGACCGCGTGTTTGTTGACATCAATGCATTCGGTGGGCGAAACATGTCCAAAGCTGGGCAATTCCTCGACCCCAGCTTTGTTACGTGTATGCGCCGCTCGGTTTCACTCTTGATCACATCTGCAACTACACACTTGCAGCCATGAAAGCATGTACCGCTATGCTTTGCCTGGTTTGAAGTGGCCTGGCCGCTTGGCGGCGAAAGAAAATTGGCTTGATGGCTAGCCGAGTTGGACGTAGTTTGAGACTCATGGAGCGAGTAAACACGGTAAATAAAAACATTCTAAAAACTTCTCAGGTGTTCCTCAAGCTTTGAGTACTGTGACTATTTAAAGCTTGAGTAATACACATTCACCTCTAAGCTGACTGGGGTGGTAACTACGCACTCACCGGATCAATCAACCACCTCCCTCTCGTTTTTTGACCCCGCCTTCTGCACATGGTTATGGGCGGGAGTGTAACACATGGCGAAAGGTAGACATATGACTGGTCCAACGAGCATGTAGCTTCTACTACGATTTCAGCTGGTCATTCAACAGAGTATAGTGATGCAGCACAAAAAAATGTGTGCCATTTCAGAATGTCTGAAGGAGAACACACCCTCAAACATCCTGAAACTGTAGAGAGTTTCCTGCAAAGCCACTCGATTTGATTGGCCAAGCAGTAAATAAAAGGTACACTCACCAAAGCACTGTGTCACCCATGATAAGCCTGCAACTCCCTTCAATAATTGGGAAACAACCAAAAAGCCACAGGAATGTAACACTGGATCCTGAAACAGAAAAAAAACAGCAAAATGCAGGAATTAACACAATATACAAACCGCTTCAGCGAGTGAGACACTTAAAACTAGCTACAGTTCTTTGGGCACCGTCTTTTTATTACAGATAATTGTGAGTGAGGACGTGCTGTCATTATTTTTCTAGCCCTGTAAACCTTTCCCATTCGAAGGCCTCCGACGTCGGTTTCGCAAACTTCACAAAATCTGCCATGGCTCCATTATCAAGTTCTAGAGCAAGTGACAAGTTAAAATTTCAATGGTGGAGGCTCACAGACATTAAGCACCTGCTTCAAGCCCCTCGGCTGTCGAGAAAACACTATGTCAACCGCTCCGAAACATAGGTTTTGTGCAGAAGAGAGATTGAAGTATGCTACTGATTCAGTAGAACTACATCATATTCATCAACCATTGTTAGCCGATTCACTATGCGACTCATCGTGAAAACGAGACTTGGACTTGGCCAGGGCAATATGTTTTACAGAGAAATGTTTACCGCTTTGACGGACGCTGTCATTTTATTAAGCAGCCTTATATATTTGCTTTTTATGAAGCAGATGAAGAGGAGCAAAACACAAATAGTGCTATGGACAACGGCAAGTTGAAGAAGTGATAAAACAAGCGCTACTTGTGGTTCTTCAACTTGTCCTCGTACTGCCATTTGTGTATCACTATTGTTTGAGCAACTTGACAAGCGGTTCAATTTAGTACCCGTGAAGCGGCTTGTCAGTGGCCTTGTCACTAAAGCAGGGAACATGCAGACAACAAATCACTTTGATGGTGATGACCACAACATTTTCATGTCATCTCAGAAAAATCGCCCCCCCCCCCCCCCCCCCCCCCAAAAAAAAAGCTGATCCTGCACTTATGTTGCAGAATGTGTGCATCGTCTGACGGCAGAGACTGGAGGGTCACACTGCAGTTCTCTTCGCGCGTTACACTCCCAGTTTCAATGCGGTGACCAATAAATGTTTCGGTGATGCAAAAAAATCGAAAGAAAAAAAAAAGGACGTTGCTCTGAATATTTTGTTGTTCCCCTTATTTAACTTATCAAAACTAATTTCCCGTTAATTGGACCTCAAGATAAACGTGACACGCCGACCTATTATAAGATAACAGCAATCCAGCCCTCGTCAAATTAACTGAGGGCAATAAAAAAACAAACAAGGAGGTCATGCAATAATTGTATAGGGGAATGGCAATGGTCCCAGGAAGATATGCTTCAGTTTGTGCAGTATCAGTGATTTCCTCATTAGACAAGTGTCATCAGCTTTGGCCACTGCTCATGCATTACATTTTAGAGTGAAGCACACCTGTACGATGGCATGTTTACTCCATGACATGCCAACCTTTTGCTGGGTTCCCAATTATCCTGAATAACACAAAAATTTGCAAATAAAAGAAGCAGTTAGATCAATAGGTCACAAAAATCTATGTGAAACGAGCAGTCTAGATCAGTGCATGCAGGGTGACTCCATGTGGGGCTGTATAGGAGCTTTACAACCACCCCAATAGCTTGTTAAATCAAACCCAATTATCCTCTGCTAAATGTGTGAGCTACATGGTCTTGGTAGACCGTTCAAATTCCTCACTTACCCCGCATATAAGTCCTAGAGTTGTATTCACACTGCTTGCGTTTGCTTTGGCCTCCACCCCCCCACCCATTTTCTCCCACACTAGGTGGCAGAAACACTGTTCTTATTCTGCATGTGGCTGATTATTAAAAGCCTTTTGGCTTTTCAATTTAAGTAAATGCACATATTGAAAAGTAGCTTATTGCCTAGTAATCAGGTCTACGAGAAAATTTTGAAGTGTAGAATATATGAAGTTTGCTAGACCTATGGCGGACAATATTTACCCTCCAAATCAAAGCAGCACCAAATGTGTCAGCCATGTGCCCATGACAACTTCAGATGAGACTAATGACAAATGCATAAAGCATATGATAATTACAGAACGACCCGATACTATGACCCAGAAAGTTGAACAAGCTTACGTGAACACGCTTACAAAAAGATATCTAGAGTGCCAAAGAATCAATGGAAATAAAAATAGGAAGACTTGACTGATCCTCTCTGAAGTCCCGATCTTGGTATCAATAGCATGCATCGATGCTTACAATCATGCTCTGCGGTGTGGCCAGAAAACACACCTGAGTGAAGCTCCCAATCATTATGCTCTTAGGTGGACAAAAGGCTCACTTCAAACAGCTTTCAGCAATAAAAAAAAAGCATGCCAGATACTAACATAACATGGTTTCCCCAAAAATAAAACATATAAATCTCCAACATCTTTAGGGGCTAAGGAAACAACCAAGGACGCACAAGAATGAAGCACCTCATCCCAAAGTGAATGGAACGCCAAGGTGCAACACATCGCTCTCCTAAGCAACTAACACTACTCACAATTTTTTGAACACCTTCCTGGTAAACTAAGAGCGGGAATATTAATTATAATTACATGTGGTGCATCGCCTTCAGGATTGCTGGATGATGTGAAACTCTGGAAGATCTTCAAGATTAAAGTGAGCAGAAATTTTTTACTTGGCCTGAAAATCTCTCATACTTTGTAACTTGTTCAGAGTTAGGCAATAACACCACAGCTATCTACTAACACATTACGCCTAGAAAGTATCACCTACGTAAGACAAGAATGATTCAGACACTACCTATTGTTAGTGCCATTTTGTAAAAGAGACTTGCACAGCCTGCTCACTTTCCATGTGGCACACCCATGAGTTCTTTCGCCGGGCAGATGTGCCAGACGCATATTAAATCTCTCACACCGGCCTCTATGTCCACAACAAGGCTCTAACATTTCAGAAGTGTGGTCACGTGGCCATGCCCCTCTGCAGATTGACTGCTGTGGTGACATGTAGCTCAACAGCGGTGGACTTCTCCTACTAGAACCTCAACATGGAAGGAACGAATTCCCAAGGGCTACGGCAGAATGTGCGGAACTTGAACTGACCGGCTGTGGCAGCAAACCCTCTCCAAGTTCCAGCCACCATTTCAACAGGGACGACGGGGAGCACAGGCTTTGTCAGTAGCGACGGCACCCCCACGAGCCAAAGTCCGTAACAGCACCTGCGACAAAGAGCCCTTGCATAATCCCTGTCACCACTCCGGCTGGGATCACAGGGAGCACAAATGATGGCGGTGGAGCCACCACGAGCCAGAGCTACATGGCAGCACCTGCAGCAGCGAGGCCCCCACAAGTATACCACTCACCATCTTGAATGGGAACTCGGGGGAGCGCAAGCGTTGGGAGGTGACGACAGCGCCACCACCAAAAATGATGTGGCAGCACAAGAACCAGGTTCTGATGACAACAGGCGCTGACATCCAAGTCAACTTGGTGGCTGTCCAACCAAACAGACGTGACGCGTACCTGAGAAGGCAAATAATGTTTTGTAGTGATCGAAGTGGCCAAAAAGTTGCCAAGCGAAACTCAGCATTCAACTCTAATGATGAGCCACGCTGTTTCGACTATGATCGACATATGTCTGCGAATCGCTCTAAACCGCAGAAGTGTGAAGGCTGCATCAATTTTAATGGACATGGACAATTAATGGACCATTTTTGTGTGCAGGCAACAAACTGCCAGCGAAAACAGTGATGAAAACTCAAGTGAGTTACTCCGACACTGCTAAATAAATAGGACAGCTTACCATCATCTCCTATTGATATCTGCCATTAAGTCTGTACCTCAGCACTGTAGGTGATGACAGTGGTGTCCGTCTCAGGGAACTCAAACTAGTAGTTCACTGAGCAACTCATCCTTGACCAGGCCTGCAGCGATTATAAATATGAAGAACAGATATATTACGTTACATAAATGACACAAGATAGAAGAGGCACGGACAGTACCATACCTTCCAAGTTTGGGGACACCAAATTCGGGATAATTTCTAAGCAGGGGAGGGGGGGGGGGGGGGGGGGGTGTTTTAAAAAAGAAATATTGAGAACAAATTTGCATGAAGACAACTTCATTATATTTATATATTGCACTGCCTATGCTCATGGGATTGCAGCCGTCCACAGTGATGGCAAAAACTCTTCTTTAATACAAAAGAGAGGGGGAGGGTAATTTCTCTTTTCGGGAGGTTTTTCTGTCAATCATACAAACTGATCAAAATTTAAGAGACTTCTGGGTAATACAGGGAAGTTGGCAGGTGTGCAATACTAAACAGACACAATTTGCTACCGGCAATGGCAAAAGAGAATGCAGGTTGGATCAGCTATGCATAAAGGTACTTTGAACAACATATACCATATAGAGTGTACTCACGCAAGGCTAGCGAGCGGTGCACTCTGGGTACATCACCGTATTTGTGTTCGTGAAAGCAGACAGCGGAAAGCGCACAGCCTCACGGGCCACACTATGCAGCGAATCTTTCTACGGTTCAGGTGACACCACGCATGAAAAAGATGTCGCTCTTGTGCGACAGTCTGCTGTTGCACAAGGAAAAAAGATGAACTGGAGAAAAAAAGACAAGGACAGCAGGCGTTGCAGACTCCCAGTTTCTACAAATCCTGAGAGTCCGAACATGCGTGCAAAATGGTTTGGACACTCCACTTCAAACGAGAATGACTCACTAGCATCATCGGGCAAAGCCCAGACAAAAATCATGACAAGTGGAGAGTATGTGAGCATGTTAGTGAAGTTAATTAGTGCCTGTCTATTTTGTGTGTATAAATAAATATAAATATAAATATATATATATATATATATATATATATATATATATATATATATATATATGAGTAAAGCTATACGCACTCCGGAATGCACTTCGGACGGAAATGGCTATACGCACTCCGCTTTTCTCGCATAAAACGAGTGGTCACAACGAATTTTCTAAGCAGAGGCATGGCATAGGGGTCAATGTGTCCGCTTCATACGCAAGTGGACGCGGGTTCCATCCGCAGTGGGCCTGCTTTTTTTTCTTTTTTTTTTCTCAAACATTTTGTTTTGTCGAGGCATTTGGCGATATTTAGGACATTTCTTTTTTTTTTTTTTTTTTTTGCGATAAACAGTAAAAAAAAAAAAAGAAAAAAAATCGAATGTTGTTGAGAAACTTCGCAAAACTAAATGGTATGGGACTCCCTTTCGAGGTGCGATCGGGGACAGCGGGGCTTGGATTGCCGGCTGGACGCCGCGAAGCGGCGTGTACTGGTTACGATTTGTAATTAGCAGCCGATACTGTCGCCGCGAAGCGGCGTGAACGCAGGCGGGGGGCTGTGTTAACGAGCTCCCCAGTGATACACGCGCCGTTCTAAAAGGGTGGCCCGAGCGGCATGATCTCTCGGAGGAGTGCGTATAGCCATTTCCGTCCGAAGTGCGCTCCGGAGTGCGTATAGCTTTACTCTCTCTCTCTCTCTCTCTATATATATATATATATATACATATATATATATATATATATATAGCGCAGTAGATCAAACGGCTCCAACCGCAATGTTTTCTTTTTTTACGCGTTTCGCTCGCGTCGCTTGAGATCACCCACAGCGATAAGACGCGCGGGCCGACAAAGAAACCTGGCAAGTACAGATATGAGTAGGCAGCGATGCGTGCCGACGCGAAGTGACGACCCACGTGCGATAAAACGTTTGACAGGTCGACCGACGTGTTGGGTGACCGAATCATGGCTTCGCGATTAGAACTCGCAACCCGTCGGACGGTTTGACGAAAAGCGCGAGGAGAGATGCTCGCCTAAGGAAAATACCTGTCAGAATACACTTCTCGGGCGCGATTAGGCAAAGGCAGGGCAAGGAAACAAACCAAGGAAATGCTTGAACGGAAGCTTAGGAGGACACAGAGAAAAAAAGGCTTACCTTCGAGAAGTACCGAGGAATGAGCCAATTGAGCAGTGCCCATAACCTTCAGGGCTGTTCATTCTTGCTCGCGTGGTGCCTCGCCACTTATTAGTCGCAAAATTCATTCTCGGACGCGGCATATCGGATCGATATGAGTTCTACGTAAAAATAAAAGACACACCAAACCGCAACAAAGCTTCGGAAGCTTCGACGCAAATGAAGTTTAGGGTGGATTGGATTGGCTTGTAAAAGACTTTGTTTCGAAGTGCATAATAAATGCGAAAATAAAAAAAGTTAACGTAACGTTATTCGTAAAACAGTGGCGAACCGAAACAATAAAACGTTTTAACAAACTTAAATAACTAAAACAAATGTATTAAAAATAAAAGTTTTATACGCGATACGAAACTTCGGTAGCCACACAACTACGACGGGATTTTAGTTTCGGTTTGGAATCGGAGGCTGCGTATTTTCGACACCGATTGGATATCCAGGGGGCGTGGACAATGGCGTCATGGACGTAAAAATAGCAGCTTTTATTTTGACATCTTGGTTATTTTTACGTCAACAACACGTATTCTTTGGATGCCGCTGACTGCATTGTGAAATGTCGGTAGCTCGGCGTGTGTGTGGCCGGGTGCTCGGCTCGGCGGCTCGGCGGTGTCCGCGCTGGTGCGTGTTGTCAACATTGCCGCCTGTACTCGTCGCGTTCATAGGAACATCAAAATAAGCGTTCTCCATTTTCAAACTTCGCCCGGTGCCGTCCGTCACTCCTGTTGCAAATGAAGATCTTCTAGGTGGCATTGACCGGAGGCGACAGAGCCCAGCCGCAGCAACTTTGTACGCATTTTTCTGGAGCTGTACTTGTGTGCAGTACGACGGATTATCACCCTTGCATAGAATAGCTGCGAAGGCCGTGCAAGCAGCGCGCGAGTAGCCTTGACTGGCATGACTGCACCCGATGCTGGAGCGCTCGTGGCGCGCGATCCAAAGCAACGAGCTCGCGCTTTTAGCACTGTCGTCGCAGAGCCTTTTATACTGGGAGAGTTCGGCGGTTCTTTGATCCAGCCGCCAGTCTGGCAGCACTGATCAAACAGCCTGGCAACTGTGCGCACCCGCCATGATGTGCCTTGCCGTCTAGCTTGATTGCACCTTTTCATTTAATTGCATTATAATTATAACCTTAAATTGCAAGCTTCAGCCTTGTTTGGTGTAAGGCTGGTGGCGGCTGATAAAACCCGTTTGCCCTACTAACTCGAGCCGGCAGTCCGCTCGCTAGAGTCCATGGAGCGAGAGACGACGATGAAAATGATCGTTCTGCGCTGCGCTCTCCCAGACGTTCGATGAAAAAGAAATGGGGAGCTGCAGTTCCGTTGGGTGCTCGAACAACGCGAAAAAGGGGTTCAGGATGTACCGGTTCCCGCAAGGAAAAGAAAACCGCGCAAGGCACAAGATCTGGGAAACCAAGAAGGGCTGACTGGAAGCCGAGTTCTCGATTGTGCGAGGTAAGTTTAGGATTAACGTATGATTAACGTAACAAAATGCTTGATTTTTCGACTTTCTCCTTACGCCAACAAAAGCGCAAACGGCAAAACCTACACGCGTATACATCGCATGTCAATGGGGACCGGAAGCGGCGCCCGCTGAGTCCGCTAGACCTAGCGGGCCGTAAGCCCCTCCCACCCGCCGAACTCTCCCAGTATAAAAGGCTCTGTGTCGTCGACAGCATTTTTCTTTTCTTTTTTTCAGTGTTAGTCATAAAAAAGAAATGTCGTAAATATCGTCAAATGTCCCAACAAAACAAAATGTCCGAAAAAAAAAAAAAAAAGGCGGCCCAGTCTGAGGTTTTTAAGGGTCTATGAAGTAATTTTTTTTTTATTTGTTTGCCAGTTTTTTTGCGCCCCTCTTTGAGTACTGTCGCATTTTTTTTTGTATTATTTTCACGTTTATTTTTCGTTGGTTTTACTTCGGATATTATTTGCATAAGCATTTTTGAGCTGACTTCGCACCTGTGGATATTGTCATGATGGATTCGGGAGCCCATATTCGGGTCTTATAAATTTTGAGCCATTGTATTTTCAACTCACTGTAAATAATTTAGGAAAAAATGAAACGTTTGTCTGTAAATATGGTTGTATTAGCGCGTGTGGATGTAGATTGTAGTCATTTATTAACACTATTAAAATATTCAGATATGGCTAATTGTCACATTTTTATTTGCCTTGCTAACAAAAGTGTGTCAACCAATTTTAT